CCGAAGGGCACGATCGCTCACGAATCCATGGCATTCGGCGATTTTGTTTTTCTTGCCCAGAATCTTAGAAAATGAAACATAATGGTTGACATCCTGCGGGTACAGGTTCCAGCGACGGCGGGTTTGGTCGGGTACCTGCCGGGCAGTGACTGCCGCTGGGTTTGGGCTTTGGGGGTTCGCGGGTGACCCCCGCCCCCCACGTCCTCTCTGCTGGCGCCCGGGTGGCTCTGGGCCGCGCTGTGCGCTGCGCTGGGAAATAAAAACTCTTCCATTTAGGGGCGGAGTCTTTGTCCAGCGGGTTTTCAAACGTTTGTGGTTTTTTAGATGGAGCGCTTGTTACTTTCCTGGGAATATTAAAACCTGCAGAACGGAACCGCATCCGACCGCACGAAGCGGGCCGTTCAGAGGGAAAGGAAAGGTTTTTACTTCCAAGACTCCCGTTTTCAATCCGGACCTCAGAAAAGGGAGGGGAGTGGGGAAAATGTTAACAGATTTGGATTCCACCTCCCCGATGCGCCTGTCCGGAACCATCTGTACCTTTTACATCGGAGCGTCTTGTGCCCTCCACCTGTGACAGGTGACTCTGTCAGAGCCGTGGGCCGCCGTGCGCCCAGCGCCGGCCAGGGTTTGTGGCAGGTGCCTTACTGGACACTTGGGTCGGGTCGTGTCCAGCATTTCGGCCTTGAACACCAAGCTGTTGGAGTGGCTTATATGTCCAGGCGGGGGCCTTTGTTGGGCAGTTGGTTTAGGATGAGTTCCCAGAGGTGGACTTGCTGAATGGCGGTGGGTAAAGTCCGCGGGCGGTTGGTGCCCTGAGGACATCTTGTGGGTTCTTTGTTTAACTGGATTTATTGGGGCGACATTGGTGAATAAAGGTAAGTAGGTCTCGGGGATACAATTCTGTAACATCATCTGAGTTGAGGACTTGAGTCGTTTGTTCTAGAACAGGGAGCCTTCGCCTCGGGCCACTGGCCCTCGCAACGGAGGGAGGGGTTTGGGAAATTCGCTGGGAAAAAGTTGGCCGGCTCCCGCTGAACTTCCCTTCCACGGTGAGCGTGCCAGGATGGGACCGCAGCACGAGGCGCTGTCTCCGGGTTCGGGTTCGGGTTCGGGTTCCAGCCCAGGCCTTTTCAGCGGTCGCGAGCCCCTCCCTGCAGGCTCCGTGGAGGCTGGCCCCCGAGGCCACCTCATTCGGTGCAGCACCTGAGCGTCATGAAGACAGTGTCCCCTTCCAGCCCTACATGGGCACCTTCTGAGGGTGGGTCCAGGGGCAGGAAGGGGAGCCCGTCCTGGCCTAGCAAGGCCTCTCCTCAGCCACCGGCTCCGTGCTGGGCAGACAGGCCTGCGTTCAGTCCTGGTTGTTGTGCTGTCACCCGAGAGGGAGGGCATTCTGACCTTTGTCACCCGGGACCTGGGCGGGGTGGCCAGGTCCGGGCGCCCCAGGTCCAGCACACCCCACCCTGATTCCAGGCAGGCTCAGGTGAGTCCGGCTGGTTTTTTAAAAATATATTTTTACTGATTTCAGAGAGGGAGAGAGAGCTAGAAACATCAACGATAAGAGGGAATCATTGATCGGCTGCCTCCTGTACACCCCCTACTGGGGATCGAGCCCGCAACCTGAGCATGTGCCCTTGACTGGGAATCGAACCCGGGACCCTTCAGTCCGCAGGCCGACGCTCTGTCCACTGAGCCAAACCGGCCAGGGCAGCTGTTGGATCTTAAAGTCCCTTTTCCTTGTCAGATCAGGTTGCTTCTGTCTTGCAGGGCGGGAATCGTTTCTCCCTGAAAGAAACGCGAGTCACACGGGCTGAGAAAGAACTGGCGGTGGGAACACATGAGCAGGAGCCGGGAGGCAGCCGTGACCACGGCCAGGACCTGGGTGAGTAGGGCCCCGACCCTGGCCTTCTGGCTTCCCCGTGCGATGCCCAGCACAGCCTCTGAGGGTCTTCGCTGCATCCCAGAGGCCCCGTTTCATTCTGCTAATTACCGATGATAACCACTGATTTCATTGATCACCCATCATCCATGCTGTGTGTGTGTGTGTGTGTGTGTGTGTGTTCCTGTGTGCTGCTTAGTTATTCCTTCTTACTGCTGGCCCGTGTTGCGTTGTGTGAAAGCCCCCACCATGTCCACGCTTGCTCTCCCCCTGCAGGCAGCTGGGTTCCCAGGTGTGGAGCCCGTGTCTGCGGGGCCAGCTGCAGGTCTGTCCGTGGGGTTCTCGCTGGAACTGCTGGTTTGTAAGGGTCTGCAAATGTTTACCTTATGTCAACCTCGAATATATGATTTCTTTTTAATTTGTTGGTTAGAGAAAGAGGAGGGGGAGAGAGAAACATTGATTTGTTGTTCCATTTATTAATTCATTGGTTGCTTCTTGTATGTGCCCTGACCAGGGATTGAACCTGCAACCATGGCTTAAAGGTTCGATGCTCTAACCAACTGAGCTACCTGGCCAGGACTACACACCCTTTCTTTCTTTTCTTTTTAAATATGTTTTTAATGATTTCAGAGAGAAAGGGAGAGGGAGATTGAGATACATCAATGATGAGAGAGAATCATCTATTGGCTGCCTCCTGCACGCCCCCTGCTGGGGATCAAGCTTGCAACCCGGACATGTGCTCTGACCGGGAATTGAACCCTGACCTCTTGGTTCCTGGGTTGATGCTCGACCACTGAGCCACCCGGCCCGGCCACACTCCCTTTCTTGTGCTTATTGGCCACTTAGAAATCCTCTTCCGTGACACCCGTTTCTGCGTCTTTCCTATGGAGCTGTCGGAGTTGTTTCTATGTTCTGTGTGTGAGTCCTTCTCCCCGGCTGGCACTTGTGACTCTGTGATGTTTTCTGATGAAGCAGAAGGTCTTCACGTAGCCGGTGGCCGTTCCTTCCTGCCTTCCTGTATGGGCGGTGCCTCTGGGGTTTGGACTAAGGGGTCCCTGCCCTGGGACCAGAAAGACGTCCCCGCGCCTTCTCCCTGGCCACAGTGTCCCTCGTTGGCGTCTCACACGGGAGCGCTGTTCTTTCGCCGCCTGCGTCTCCCGTGGGTATAAGGGTCCAATTTTTTTTTTTTCTGGACTGGGTGACAACCCTCCGAGCATCAGAGGCTGTGGAACCCGCACCTGGGCATGTGCCCCGACGGGGAAGGAACCGGCCCTCTTGGTGTGCAGGACGACGCTCCAACCGATTGAGCCACCGGCCAGGGCCCGTGTGCTGCTCTCTGTCCGTCTCTGCACCAGCACGTCCCACGACCAGGAAGTGCCAGTCCCAGTCCTCCATGGGCAGGCCCTCCGCCCGCCTCCTCCCCTTGAGGAAAGTGTCCCTTATCTCTCTCCCCTTTGTAATCTGTGTCCACCTGGGAGGGTTGTACTTTGAGACTAAACATCCAGTTATTTCTCAACTAGACGCCCGGTGCAGGCATTCGTGCATGGGTGGGGTCCGGCTGGCCTGCCCGATGGGGGTGGGGGGCTG